CACAATATTTTGACATGTCATCATGCTTTCGTAAGTTAATGGGACATGTCACTGGATTTTTAATAGAAGGACCAAGTTCGGGCTAAATTGGTAAACGGTAGAGATTAAATCAGATATTTCTTTAGTTTATGAACCAAACTGGGAGTCTATACAATAGTTGAGAGACTAAAATAGGGGTTAACCTAATAGTTTTGATAATATCAAAATTTTATATCTTATTTACAGTCATGTTATTTTCTTGATACATAATTTAGAGCATTGCAAATACAATAAAGGTATTTATACAAATTTATTCAAAAGATACCTTCTCTGCATTTGCAAAATGTTTTGCACATATAAGAGAGAAAATAAGCTACATATTGTAGATTCAGCCTTTCTTTTCTCTTTCCTTTTGTAGCTTAATTTTAAGTTTTTTTTTTAAATATTTTATAATTCAAACTATGTCAAATTGCAAAACATTAGTCATTAAATTAAAAGTGACTCTTGATATTGGGGGTAAATATGACAATTTACATGCTCCACAGGGATAGGGATCAGTCTAATTACTCATTTCTTTTAAATGAGTACTTGTAATTTTTGAAGTTAAAACAACTGTAAAATATTTGAGATATTTTGAAATCAATTTATTAAGTGTTAATGTGTTGAGTTAATTTCACTCTAATAAGAATATTAATCAGTTCAAATAATATAATGATAAAAATTAAATATCATTCTATACAAATTGTAGACTAATCAAGTACTAAAATTAATTAATTTTAATTTTATTTGAACAATTAAAGTTAAATGGTTTAAATAAATTAATTAACTAAATTAATTAAAGAAAATAAACTAAATTAATTTTAAGTGGCTCCAAAATTTGAAATTATAAGGCATTTAATTTCACTATAATCAACTAGTATAAAATTTAGATCAATATACTTTTAAGGTCTTTATTACTCATATGACAGTGGGTTTCCTATTCTATTCAATATATTTTCTCAAATTATAATAAACTTATCTTCACCTATTAACTCATTATGTCTTTATGTGAATTTAAATAAATTAAAATGTATTATATGTTGTAAAATTTCTTAGTTTATATCGAAAATCAAGTTTATTTATTCCTAATACTTTATGAATCATGTTAATCCATCTTTAACTTTCATTTAATTCATGATATATATTACTAGAATGTTTATATAAAATTTTCTCTCGATCTTTCTTCAAATTAGTTCTAATGGTGATCAATTATTAAAAAATATTAAAAATAATAATATATACTATGTATAAAATAATAAGTCTTGAAAGTATAAAAATTATGAAATTTTATATTAAATTGAGCAAATTATATCATAGCTTTAAATGGCTAAATTAATTCATAATTAAAGAAAAAAATTAAAGATTTTATGATAAATATATGAGTAGTTGATATTATAAAACAAAATTCAAGAACAAATAAAACTAATTTGATAATATCAAATCTCAAATTTTGATTTTCTTTTGATATTGAGTTTCACATAATTATCTCTTTTGATCTTCTCAGAAGCTTTAAATCTAGTTTTTGAATGAGAATTTATAAAACTTAAGGAATTTTATTAGAAAAGAAGTAAGAGGCATAAAAAAAAA